TTTAGGTGGGCCAATCAGAGCAGACCTTAGGACTTCACTTTAGGTTGATAAGGGTCTGAGGCAGACTTAAACTGAAGGGTCAGGCAGGCATCATCTATGCCAACAGCAAAGAATTACTGCATAAAACTACTGCAATGAACACTGATCAAGATGATGGGGGGCTGGGGAGATGGCTCAGTAGAATAAGCGCTTGCCTGGCAAGCACAAGGGCCTGAGTTCAATCCCTGGTTCCAAAAATAAATAAAGATTTACTAAAAAAAAAAAAAAAAAAAAAAAGGATGGGAGGAAAAATAAGAGTGGTATGCATTTTCATGCCTGAATCCTGGACTACAAAGTAACATAAACCAACACAGACTTTTTTGCTTTGCCAGTGTAGATGGATTGTTAGTCTTCATACAGCATTTTTCTTGCTAATTCTCCACACATGCCCAAAACAGCAGCCATGCTGAGATTACATACTGAGTTCTCTCAGGTTACACCATGCACTCCCACTTCTGTCTGGGCTTTTGCTTTTACCTAAGGCCTGGGCAACTCCTATTCATCCTTCAAAGCCCAACTCCAGCATCAGTACCTCTGGAGCTTCTTTCTTAACCCTCCTCGAGTTTTTCTTCTGGGTTCTGGAGGACAGTGCTTTTCTAGCATTTGTCCTCCACAGAATGGGGCTCCTTGTGTCTCCATGTCCAGTACTGGGGCTGGCACGGAGTAGGCACTGGTCAATGACTGTTTATTGAATAAATGTACTACTAGAGTAGGAAGAGGCTAGAGTCCAGTGTAACACGGTGGTGGGAGTGGATGAACGGGGGACCCGCTAGAGGATCTGGAGCCTGGCGGCTGAGGCCGAGTTCTGTTTTGCCCTCTCCCATGATCATCCTCGACCCTCACCCCCACCACTCCCATTCTGCAAAGGACCCCTGGGCTCAGGAGGAGCCGCACAGGCCCAAGGCCAACACCTCCTCTGCAGGCCAGGGCAGGAGGACCCAGGCTGGCATGAGGGACTCTCCTAAGTGTATTGGGTGACAGGCTGCAGGTGAGGGGCTGACAGAAGGGCAGGGAGGGTAATAACTTAAAAACCAGAGGTGACAGCGGCAGCTCCTCGGGAGACCTCTGCAGAGGGAAGGGGTGGTATTTACAAGGATTTGTACAAAGTGCCCCTGCGCCAGCCTGGGGCTGAGGAGGGGTTTGAGCATTGGGGGTGGGAGGGGAAGGAATCGGCCTCTGACCTCCCATTGCCACTCCCCAATTCTCCAGTCTTTAGGCTCAGCAGCTCTCCCTGCCCCTGCCCAAGACCTAATTCTTGAGCTGTTGGGAGGAGTGGAAGTTCTCTCAGTTCCCCTTCCTGCCCCTGAGCTGTCCTCAAAGTCTTCTCAGGTGCTCCATGGCTGGGCGAGGGGGATGGGGCCAGAGGGAGGCTTCAGAAAGGTACAGCTCCCACCTCCAAGCCCCCATCATTCTGTCCCGGGAGGCCCAGAGAACAGCAGAGGGACAATCTCTGCTCCCCAATCTAACCCAGGGAAACCAGGCGACAATGGGGGGACACCTTCCTTGTCCCCTTTTCCTCCTGCAGAAGCAAAGGGAACAGGAGAAAGAAGAGGGACCCGGGGCCACAGAGGCTCAGAGCTCTAGGTCGTTGGAGATGCGGGTAACGAGGGTGCGGAAGGCCAGGGCGGTGCCCGCCACTCGGCGAAAGAGCACACCCCGCAGGCCTGGCCGAGGCAGCTGGCAGACTTCCACCTCGAAGTGGGACAGGGGCTCGGGCCCGCCCGCACCCCCGTGCAGGCAGGCCAGCAAGAAGGGCTGTGGTTGGCGGCAGCGGCAGCGGGCGGCCGCCGTGGCCTGGCGCAGAGCTGCCATCAGGGCCTCGGGAGGGCGCGAGCTGGTCAGCTTCACACTCCAGGGGAATCGGAGCAGCCGGGGGGTGGTTTCCGCTTGATCCCAAGGTAGATTGCCACTAGGTGGGAAGAGAGCAGAGGTCAACCCTCAGGAAGTCATTCTCTGTCCTCTAGTGAGCTTCCGCTGAACAACTGCCCGGCATAGCCCGCCTCAGCGACACAGTTGGGGTGAGGAGTTTCCCTCTGTCCTTTTTCTTTCCTTTGGTACCAGGGATTGAACTCAGGATCTTGTGCTTACCAGGCAGGCGCTCCTGCCACTGAACTATCTCCCCAGCCCCAGGAGTTTCCCTCTGCATTCTGGGATCTCTAAAGAGCAGCTGAGCTCATTTTCTTCTGGTAATGAAGATCAACTCTCCCTTGGGAGACCAGGGATTCTCTCCTAGACTCTGCAATGTCTGTTCAAAGGGGTGCTTGGAAATTTCTGGGGGCTTTCCAACTGTCACATTCTGGGTTGGGGTACTATATGTTTATTAGTCTGGGTGCGAAGGCAGCTCAGGAAAGATACATGTTTTAAAATGGGCAGTAGACCCCTGTAGAAGAAAGATCCAGATGGTCTTGAGAAGACCTCTAGTCTAACTGTTCTGCTTTTGATGGGGCTGACCCTGCTCCTTTCTACCAAGGGTGAGTAATGGACTTGGGTTTTAGCCAGAAAGAGTGGTCCACTTCCCTGGCCACTGGGATTGGGTCAATAATGATCACATGATCAGATCTAAACAATCAAGAGTGTTTCACCCTTCTAGCTACAGGCATTGGTTTAGAGATGAGCACGTGACTTATACCCAGCCAATGAGGATCATTTCCTGGAAGGTACAGGAACTTCTGGGGAGAAGGCTCTGATTTCTACTGGGGTTTCTAAAGTGGTAATAAAAGCAAGGCTTGGAAGGAGCTATGGCACTGCCTGCTTTGGTAAATGAAGTTTTTTTTTTTTTAAGGATTTTCATTCCTGTTTTTATTTGTAATGTATTTAGTATAGGGTCTACAGGGTCTCACTACACAGATTGGACTCATAGTGATCCTCCTGTTTTCAGCCTCCTAAGTGTTGGATGGGATTACAAGCGTTCGCCCAGTCTCAAATGCTGTCTTAGCGTGCCGGCTGCCAAGGCACATCGGGGCTCGGGATTGAATTCCGGTCCCTGAGTCTGCCCAGGCAGGGTCTTTACTCCGCTGAGCTATCTGGCCAGCCTGGTAAATGAAGTTTTATTAGGACACAGCCACACTCACTTGTTTTTCTACTGAATACGGCTGCTCTGAATGGCAGAGACTGGGGGCCTGCCCATTAGCTCATCTGTTTAAGTGATTGCTTAAACAAAGCAGTCAGGGGGCCTGGGAGATGGCTCAGTGGAATAAGCGCTTCCCTGGCAAGCACAAGGGCCTGAGTTCAATCCCCGATTCTGCCAAGAAACAAAACACAAAAGCAGCCAGGTTCAGGATGCTGTGGTTGATCTCCTGATCCTCAAGCCTTGCCAGACCTGCCCTGAAGGCATCCTGAAGGGGGGGGGAGATCCTTCTGAATGGCAGAGACTACATCTCTCAAAGCCTAAAATATTTAGTGTGGCCTGTACTGTTTGGCCAGAGCCACCAGTGATGCTCCGGAGCTCAGTAAGAGAGGGCCATGGGGCATTTTTGGAAGCTGGCCTTGGAAAATGAGACTTGGGTCCCTTTTCAGAGCCTGGGCTGAGTGGGGGCATTTTTGGAAGCTGGCCTTGGAAAATGAGACTTGGGTCCCTTTTCAGAGCCTGGGCTGAGTGGCGGGGGCTGCTGGGGGTGGTGGGAATTCCAGGTAGTCTGGGGAGGACAGGGGCACTCACCTTGTGACCTCAGGTCCCCCGATTCTCTCAGGTTCGTCTGCGACCCTAGGGGAGGGGAGAGAGATAGTGTCTAATGGGGGTGGACAGAGGCCACCCTCCTCCCACATCCCATGGCCTCTGCCCAGGGCCCAGCCCCCAGCCAGGCTCTGCGGAGGGTGGATGACGACTCCATCCCTACTCTATCCACAGGAGGGGCTCATGGTGAAATGATTAGCGCAGGTCGCAGGAGAGATACTGAGAAACTTAGAAGATGAGAAATGGGAGCGGGCAGACACACATATAGAGAGGGCAACAAAGACAGACACACAAGTGTTGTGCACCTGCACACACAGACACATTCTCAGGCTTTGTTTAAACAGCAGATGCCTCCTCGAACCCCCCGGCTATTTTTCCCAGCATGCATCCCACCCAGAGAGTCACACCCTGCTTACTGTCTAGGTCCCAACTAGAAGGTTGGCTCTGTTGGGAGTGGAAAGGGAAGACTTTTTCCATTTTGTTCCCTCTCTACCGCAGGGGGCCTAGGACAGTGGTGGCGAGCCTATGCCCAACGTGCCACAGTGAGATATTTGTATAGCTGAAAGCTCTAGAAGGTCCACCATGACTAGCTAGGACAATGCCAGGTGCACAATGAAGGCCCAGGGGATAATGGAATGGATAGAAAGAGCAAATAAACTATTTTTTCAAACCAGGAATTGAACTCAGGACCTCATGATTGCTAGGTAGGCACTGTGCCGCTCAGCTATATCTCCAGCCCTATTCTTTTTTGAGATGGGGTCTTGCTTTGTAATTCAGGCAGGGCTTGAACTCACTGCGTAGCCTAGGCTGGCCTGGAACTCCTGGCAATCCTCCTGCCTCAGCCTCCAAGGCTACCATGCCTGGCTTTTATTATTATTATTATTATTATTTTTTTGTGGAACCAAGGATTGAACTCAGATTCTTATGCTTGCCTGGGAAGCACTTATTCTACTGAGCCATCTCCCTGGCCCATGCCTGGCTTATTTTTATTTATTTTATTTATTTTTGTGGTACTGGGGATTGAACTCAGGACCCTGCGCTTGCCAGGCAAGCGCTTACTCTACTGAGCTATCTCCCCGGCTCTTATTTTTAAACAATATAATCCTCAAGCGCTTTTCTTTTTTTTTTTTTTCAAGCGCTTTTCAAGGAAGCATTCTCAACCTGGTTCGTGCATCATCTCACTCAATGCTCCAAGCAACCTTTCCCGAAGCATTCTGTTGCTACCCTCATCCTGGTACAGAAGAGCAATGCAGGGCTCAGAGAGGACAAGTGATATCTGAGGTCACCTAGCACAGGTGGTCTCCGGACGCCCACTATGTGGCTCCAGAGGCTGCACTTCCGCCACCCCCCTTTTATAGAGTGTGAAGATAAACTCGCAGGCCCCACAGGAGATCTTAACCCGGGAAAAAGGCCAAGATGGGGGTGGGGGTGACAGGGTGCTCACGTCCACAGCTCCCCGTGCTTGTGGGCACTCACACACATGCAGACATGAAGGCAGCGACAGCCAGCGTGTGAGAGGGACTTACTGATCTTGGCTCCCTGGGGCAGAGAGGCGCCCGAGACACAGCGGTTAGAGTTCTGCCGTTTAGAGGGATCGAGGGTAACCCTGCAGGGTGAGGAAGAGGAGGAGGAGGAGAAAGAAGAGGAGGAGGAGGAAGAGAAAGAGGAGGAGGAGGAGGAGGAGGAGGAGGAGGAGACAGAGGAGGAGAAGAGCAGGAGGAGATATCAGGGTACAGCAGCAGAGCAGAGCAGAGGACAGGTCGGGCCACTGCCAGCCCTCATCCCGTTCCCCATCCCCTGGAGCTCACCGTCGGGTCAGTTTGGAGGTCAGCTTGGTGAAGAGGTTGGTAGTGGTACGTGGCCGCCCAGTGGGCAGGGGAGCAGCCTCGTGGGCCAGCGTGGGAGAGGCGGGGGGCCCGTTCTGCACACCCCCGCCACCCCCGGCCCCTGCCCGCCGGTCCCGGACCTGGCCGCCGTGGAAGGTACTGCGGACGGTGGAGCCTCTTGCTAGGCGGCTCCGCTCCCCTGATGGGGGAGCCAGGCTGTGACTGGAGGGCGAGGCGGGGGGCACCCGTGGGGTGCCGGAGCTGTGAGCAGAGAGGGACAAGTCAGGGTGAGGCTCTGAGGCAGGCCTGGGTAACAGTCTCTCTGGCTACTCATTGTCCTGTTGAACCCTGAAACCCCAACTCAGGCCCAGGCTGCCATGTACAGCTGCACAGGCCATGTCCTATAGAGCCTAGCATTATTTTATTGACTCATCCTCCTTCTAAGTTATCTGTTCTTCTAAATGCCGCCCCCCCAACTATCCCTAGTCCAACTCTCCTTTAATTTTAATTTTTGGGGACTTTTTTGAGACAAAGATTCACTCTGTCGTTCAGGTTGGCCTTGAATTCACGACGTAGCCCAGGATGGCCCAGAACTCATGATCCTCCCGCCTCAGCCTCCTGAGTGCTGGGATTACTAATATAAAGAACCCTTTCCCATCCTCATCTTGGCACAGGAAGTTGGTATTTGTAGTTCTATGAAAATGTGTTGGAATTCTAGTGAGTTAATTTCAATCCATCACTTCCAGCGCAATCCGCAGAGAGAAGACACTAAGGCATATCTGTAGTTATGGGGAGCCAATGGGTCCTAAGGCCAGCCATGGTCATGGCTGTGCAGAACAAAGGTCTCGACCCTGGGCCAAACCCAGATTTTATTAGTCTGTGAAAAAGGGAGTGGCTTGAGGATGAGTGACAGTGACAACGGATGATGTAGGCGAGTGCTGCGCGCTGGGCTGGGTCGGAGGCCTGAAATCACCTCTGCAGTGTGCAGACAGGAGGACACATAGAGAGAGAAATCCATGTAACACTACTGAGACAGTACCTAATGTTTTGGGCTCGGAGCTTCAGCTCTGATGTGTAATATTTTAAGCCCTAGGAAGTCAAAGCCTCTGCCTCAAGGCTCCATCCCAGCTGACAGCATGAAGCACTGTCCAAGGGAACGATGGGATCCGGGAAAACACTGCCTGCCATCCTTAAAGACTACCACCAGCACCTCAGCTAGACTGACAGGCACTGCTTAGAGCCAACTGGAGGAATAAGGAAAGTCCTAGCCAGCTCTGTGTAGCAACACATGGAAACAGGGTCAGGCCCAGCCACAGCGGAGACAACTGCTCCTGCTTCAAAGGCAGTCACCCAGGTGGCCCTCCACAACACCAATGTCCCGTCATACCCGACATCCAACTCTCCTCTTTCTAGACTCTACAACTGAATGGATTAACATAAATTTTGGGCTGACACCCTTGCTAACTGCAATCCAAACTCGGGAACCAAATCAATTTGGCAAAGACTATGCGACCTGAGAGTGGCTCAGGGACAGTTTCCAGTGACATTCCTGTCCTCTCATCAAAACTGTCAGGGAACAAATGTCAACATCAAGGCTATCTATGCTCACGACAACTTCAGGACAGGTGACAATAAGGAGGAAGGATGCTATGTGGATAGTTAGGGCCCTTCTGTCCCAGGATCTTCTAGCCCCTCTGACCTACCACAGTCCTCAGTGAGTGGCAGACTTCCAATTTCTCTTTCCAGGGACCCCTAGGGGCAGATGGGATCTCTGAGAAAACTAAATCCATCCTGTCATTTCACTCTTTTTTTTTTTAATTTTATTTGTGTGTGTGTGTATGTGTGTGTGTGTGTGGCCAGCTCAGCCCACCAGGGGGCGGGGCTGGCTGGCATGTGGTGTTGGGGGATTGAACCATGGTCCCTGTGCTCTGCTTAGCTTGTTCTAAGTAGATGCTTTAGACCACTAAACCATCTCACCAGCCCCCATTTCACTCTTGATAGCCAGATCTCTAAGAGTGTGAGCTAGGCACAGGGCCTCACATCCAGAGACTACACTTCCCATCCTCCCTTGCAGCTAGGGTCAGTCATGTGACTACTTTGCCCAATAGGAAGCACAGACACAGTGAACCATTTCTGGGCCACACCTTTAAAAAGAATGCTGCCTACCCTCCACTCTTTCACTTCTTTTTTTTTTATTTTTATTTTTTAATTTATTTTTTTTTATTTTTCAACAAATAATACACTGCATATATTCTTCTTAGTGGTTAACACTCTTTCACTTCTGTAGGCTGCCTGGGACAGACACACTGTAGTGGTCTCAGCCTTAGAGCTAGAGCCTCTTGCTGAGAACACAGGATCACATGACTTTTCCAATGGGCTAAACATCTCTTTTATTTATGCCAGTTTACATTGGTATAAACTACCCCAATGTTTCCTGAGCAAAACAGGCAAACCACATGTTCTAGAGGTTACAAGTACTGATTCTGAGCCAGGCCTGGTGGCACATGTCTGTAATCCCAGCATTCTGGGAAGCTGAGGTGGGAAGAGTGCAAGATCAAGCCCAGTCTGGACAGCTTAGTGAGACTTGCCTTAAAATTTAACTTAAAGCAAAAAGGCGGTGGATGTAGCTAAATCCAAGTTTCAGGTTCAGTCCCCAGTACCAAGAAAAACAAACACCCCAAAAAAAATCTGCCTGGAGAAAGTCTACAGGCTTTTCTCCCGGTCTTGGCTGTGCAGCCTTGGACAAGTTACTCGATCTCTCTGTGCCTAATTTCCTCAGCTGAAAAGTAGAGACACTAGGATTGAAAAGAATGGAGCCAGCTACAACACACACAGGGCTGGCACATGGTCGATGTCCTCTATTACTGCCTTCAGTTGGTAACCATCACGAAGGCTCTCAGTCATCGATTCCATCTGTCCTCGGACCCCATGCCAGCCTGAGCTCTCCTGGGGCCTCTAATGGGGCCCAGGGACAGTGAGAACCTGTCCCATTATACAAAAAAGAAGACAACAGTTGAGAGACTTACGTAAAGCTAACGAAGCACAAAGGCAGAACTAAGGCTCGGCACAGATGTGGGTCACAGAATCGCGACTGTCACCACCTCACTGCAGTTAACTGGGGGTGTCACCAGTGTCTTGGTGCCACCAGTGCCTGGCCTCTGGGGCATCTACTGTGGGCTCAGGATTGGCGGGAGGGAACCCCTGCACATGGGTGGCTGCTCCGCTCTGGTCTGGTTCCCTCCCTCCCGTGCCACCTCAAAGGGACCTGGCAGACTCAGGCCCCCAGCTGGAGGATGTGGAAACTGTGACAATCTGGGGCTTCTCGCGAGTGCTAAAAATGGACCATTCAGAAAGTGCTCTCGGGTTCCCAGGGCTGGTGGGCGGGCAGCAGGCCCGCCTCTCTTCCTGGGGTGCTGACTTGCCTGTTCAGTGGGGAGCGTTTTCTGGGGGTGCTGTGGGAAAGCAGGTTCCCCCCCCCCCACCCCTTAACCCCCCTCCATACCTGTTTTCTTTGCCATTTGCCAACAAGGATGGGCGTTCTGCCCCAGGGCGCTCTGTGCAAACGTAGGTGTTCCTGCGGGTCATCATGCTGGGGGGGAGGTTGTTCTGCGGGGAAAAGGTGTGGGGGTGAGGAGACGCCCTGCCCCCCCAGCCCCACCTGCACCCCAAGAGTGAGTCAGACCTGCGTGGGGCCCAGGGCAGGATGAGACGTGAAAGGTTCCCAGATTCCAGGTCCCTTGGGTGGAGTTGGGGGATGGGTGGACACAGAGGGGAGCATTCCCTGGGAACCTGAGGGAGGTCGGCCAGAGAGGGCTTCCAGGGATGTTCCTGTCCTCTTTTCCCTCTGAACAAAACCTTCCCTCATGTGTCCAGTAAATTTCCTGTGACTGCCCTTCCTCCTGCCACTCTGTCTCTACCTACTGCTTAGAGGTCCCCTGCTCTGCCCTAGACTCACTCCAGAGATTGGAATTACAGTGGAGAGGCCCTGGGTTCCACCCCCCTGTATCACAAAAAGACAAATCAATCTGTCTGTCTGTGTCTGTCTGTCTGTCTGTCCGTCCATCCTTCCTTCCTTCCTGCCTTCCTTCCTGTCTCTCTCTCCCTCCTCTTTTTTATTGGTGATACTGAGGCTGGAACCCAGGACCTCACATGAGCTAGGCAAGTAATTTACCACCAGGCTGTGGCTGTAGCCCCAGCCCTGCAATTTTCTCTTTTTCCCTTTTTCTTTCTTTGTGGAACCGGGGCTCAAACTTGGGACCCTGCACTTGCCAGGCAGGTGTTTATGCTGCTGAGCTATATTCCTGACCCCTGGAATTATTTCTTCTTTAAATATTTGCAAGAATTCCACTGCAGGAGGGCTGGGAGTGAGGCTCGGTTGCACGGCATGTGCAGGCCCTGGGACCCAGCCCCAGCTCTCCAAAAAAGCAGCTCGGCTGAGGCAGGAGGATGGCCTTGAGTTTGAGACCAGTCTGGGCTACATAGTGAGGTCAAGGCCAGCCTGAACTCCATAGAGAGACCCTTTCCCACTTTCTGAAAAAAAAAAAAAAAAAAAAAAAAAGACAACAAAACTCAAACAATAACAAGAAACCCCCACCCAAACTCTCAAAACAAACAAAACCCCCAACTAAAAGAATTGGGGTGAAAATTTTTTTGGCATGTTGTGTGCTTCAGGCTGGGTCTCCCTACGTAGTTCAGGTTGGCCTTGAACTTGCTATATGTGGCCAGGCTAGCTTCAAAGTGACCCTCCTGCCTCAGCCTCCCGAGTGCCGGGATAACAGCCATGTGCCACGACTCTGGCTCCTTGCTAGGGTTCCGAGCCCCTGGCGCACAGTGCTAGGGCCCTCCTGCCAGGCCCCAATGCTCCACCCATACAGCCTTCTGTTTCTAATGCTGAGTGCTCATTTGTCCACCGGTACCAGGCCCTAGCGTAGCAAAAGAGAGCACTGCTGAAAGACCAGGGATTACCAAGTCCCTGCTGGTGCCCCGAAGAACAGGATAAAGGCAGGGTCCCTAAATTATGACACAGGTGACCCCACGGGACCCTCCCTCGCCCACCCTGGCCACTCACAGGAGTGCTCGTGCTGTCCTTCCGCCGCTCGGGGATCTCCGCCTTGTTAGGATTGTGGGCACTGCTGACCATGGGGCTGGAGGGAGGCAGCCCCCGACTCCCGCTGCCCGCCGCGCTGCAGCTCGCCTTCCGGCCAGGTAGCCGCTCCTCCTTCAATTCTGCGTCCCCTGTGCTGGTGGGGCTTCGCTTGGGGTGCAAGGGTGCTGGGGATGGGCCACCTGGTGGAGGGAGAGACCTTTACAGCTGCTGTCACCCAGCAGCCTAGAAGCCACCAGGGGCATCCTAGGAACTTCAAAACTCCTCACACGGGTTACTACAATCTTAGCCGGGACCATTCTGACAACACAAAATCACCAGGGGACAGAAATCAGCCTGGAAATGCCACATAAAATATGGATGTGGATGGCAGTCTCTAGTCTAGGAGGCTGAGGCAGGAGGGTTTCAAGTTCAAGCCCAGTCACTTAGCACCTTAGCAAGACCCTGTCTCAAAAATAAGGGGCTGGAGACATAGCTTGGTGGGCTAAGTGCCTGCCTGGCAGGTGCAAGGACCCGGGTTTGATACTGAGTCATGCCAGCCCCAAAACTAGGCATGAGGGGCCATGCCTGTAATCCCAGCACTGGGGAGGCTGAGACAGGAGGATCACTACGAGTCTGAGCTATGTAGCAAAACCGTGTACAAATAAATTTGAAAAAAAGAATAAGGGGCTGGGGATGTAGCTTATGAGTGTGGCACCCCTGGGTTTCACTTCCAGTACTGGGGTGAGGGCGGGGTTAAAATGCTGCTTAACAGGGGAGTGGCTAAATAAGCCTGGGAATTTCCATAAAAGGCCACATTCCATTTCTACGAAATGTCCTTGATAAATAATTCAGAGAGCAGGAGAGGGGGAGAGAAAAAGTCAGTGGCTACCAGGGCTGAGAGACAGATGGGGGACTGGAAACTGATGGCCGAGGACTGCGGCGTTTCTTCTGGGTGTGACAAACTTCTAACACTGGTGGTGGGAAGGGGCTCACAACTTTGTTACCAAAGTAAAACCACCAAATTAAGCCATTTATGGGCACCCAATGTATGGTATATGAAATTTATCTCAATAAAACTGTTAAAAAATAGTGGAGAGGCTGAGTGTGGTGGTGCGTGCCTGTTATCCCAGAATTCGGGAGGCTGAGGCAGGAGGATTGTTGCAAGCTCAAGGCCAGCCTGGGCTGCAAAGTGAGTTCAAGCCAGAGAGCTACAGAGTGAGACCTTCCCTCAAGAAAAGAAAAGAAAAAGAAGAAGAAAAACAATAGTAAAGAGGATTAACATTTAAGGAGGAGGTAGATAAAAGACTTTAGCAGTTTCTGTGGTTAATTGGTGGCAGTAGAGAGGTCATTTTCTGCAGCAGACTAGATTATTTGATAGTTGCAGAATGTAGCATATAAATCACTGTGTCTCCCCAACCTTTTTCCACTAAGAATGGCCTCCCCTTACTTGTGTCAGGGCTAGGGAGTGAGAGGGCAAGCTCTCTGCAGCCACTTCGCACAACGTATGTTGTGCCTCAGTTATAGTAAATTAATTCCAACTAGACTCTGATATCAGATTTCTATGCTTGAAAAGTAGACCAAAAAAAAAAGAAAAGTAGACTAAAGTCATTTAGCCTGTTTGGGGTGGTGTCTAAAATTGAAACATAAGAAATTTGTAGAATGAGCTCAAGGCAAAAAGATGAGAAAAGTAAGAGATAAAGGAGAAAAAAAAAAAAAAAAAAAAGCAGAGAGGAAGCGAGATGCACAAAGCACCTGCTCTGGCTCTGGCTGTCGTCCCAGACTGAATCCTTACCAAGCACCACGACAGCCCAAGCACCAAGCACCAGGCAGAAGCTGCAGTGAGCCCTGGGGGGTCACAGCCTCTGGCACACAAGAGCCCTGGGTAAAGGGGGCCTGAGCCCAGATGGGGACAGTGAGCCAGGCCACGGTGACACTCACAGAAGTCGCTGTGCCTGCGCTGGCGGTGATACGTGGAAGAGGAGCTGCGCTGCCCTTTGCTGTGGCTGGCGCCTTTGCTGGAGCTTGTCCCATTGGTGGTGTCGCTGGGCGCCCGCACCCGTGCCAGGGCCAGCCCTGGGGTGCCCCGGTCCCCACCCTCCTGTAAGCAGATGACAGATAAGCCACCTCAGACCCCTGTCTCCCACATCTCCCCTGCCAGGGCATCTACCCCCCTAAGGTCCCCAGGCCCCACTGACCTCGGTCTTCCTGCCCAGCAGGAGGTAGGTGGCGGTCACTTCGTTGTACTTCTGGCTGGTCAGGGCCTCTTTGATTTCTTCCCTTGTGTAGCCCATCCCCACCATCACCTCTGGGCAGGGTGGAGAGAAGGCTCAGCCCCCTGGACCCTTCCCTCTACCCTGTCCGTGTCACTCGTCAAAGTCTGCTCTTTGGCCTGTGAAGTAGCCATTCTCTCTCGGCCAGAGGCGCCTCAATGTTCCTCGCCCGCTCCACATTCCAGGGGCGGGCATATGACCCACATTTGGCCATTTAGCATCTTTTATCCCCCAAGCCACACTGATTGGTTCAGGGCAGGCACATGATTCAGATCTGGCCAATTAGAGTATTTCCTCTCTAGCCACACAGATCAGTTCAAGGATAGCCAACGGTCACCTACTACATGAGTATGAGGAAAGTTCCTGGATGGGGCATCCAGTACGCTGTGGTGAAGGCTACTAGGAAAGCACCTGGGTGGGCCTCGGGAGTTACATGACTGAATAAATGATCAGTATTAGACTAAACCACATGAAACTGCTGATACTGGCAATTTTACAGGTCTATTCATACAGTTTAACTTATACATATATTTTTGGTTCAAGCTATTCCTGTTAGGCAGCCAGAGCCAGACTGACTTTTCTGTTATTCCCTAAGGCAGCTGACCTGGATGGCAGACGCACAACATTTGAGATGTAGCTCAGAGCAAAGGCCTGCCCTGACCCCTAGTACTGCTCTGTTAGGTAGGCTCAGTGACAGGGAAGGGCCTGGAAGCTCAGAGGGGGACTGCTTGGCCAGGGTCACCCAGCAGGAAAACGTCCATGGAGGGACGGCAGGCCAGGTTCTCCCAGGCCCTCCCTAGCAGCCTAGTGTGTTCCGTCGAGGCATACCTCACAGACACGGAGCCCCTTAACGCTCACCAATTCGCTTGGTGTCCCCAAAGTCCTCTTCGGGCTCTGTGTATGGCTTCAGCTCCTCACCCTCATAGCCGATGTTGATCCATTTGTCTTTCATGATTTGCTGCAGGATGGGGATTGGGGGTGGGAGTCAGAAGGAGCCAGAAATACAAGGCCCCTACCTCCCGGGTGGACCCCAGCAATGGTGCCCGCCTGGCACCCAAAGGCCTCACGGCCCAGCATGAGGCTCCCTGAGAACTGGTACTGGCAGTGGCCCGGCCCACCCTCCTCCTCCGCTTCCTGCTGCCCAAACCCTGCAATCATCTCAGAGCTCATTAGCTAATGACTGCCTGGCAGACAGAGGGTGCGGCTGCTGGGGGCATGGGGAGGGGACACCAGGCCACCTCAGCACAGCAGCCTGTCCCAGGCAGCAGGCACAGGAGGGAGGATGAGGGGCGAGAAGGCGGTGCAGGCAGCACTCAGGGGAGCTGGGATGGTGTGGGGCCGGGACTCACCTCTAGAGTGCAGCGTTTTGCTGGGTTCAGCACCAAGAATCTGCGGAGGATGCTCTCGCAGTCTGTGGACATGTAGAAGGGGACCCGGTACTTCCCCCGGAGCACGCGCTCCCGAAGCTCCTGCAGCAAGGGACGGTGTTGCTAGGGGAAGGGCTTCGCTAGCAGCCCCTGGCCACAGGCCACACACATGCTGATCTCCACCCAACAGAGTGATAGCTCCGGCAAGGTGGGCAAAACCTCAACCCTCTCACCTGACCTCAGTTTCACATCTTTAAAATAGAAACCCCAGGGCCAGGAAGATAGCTCAGTAGAATAAGCACCTGCCTGGCAAGCGCAGGGTCCTGAGTTCAATCCCTGGTACCACAAATAAATAAATAAAGTAAAACAGAAACCAGGTGTGGTGGTGCATGCCTGTAATCTCAGTGCTTAGGAGGCTGAGGCAGGAGGAGCACTGTGGATTTTTAAAATGTATTTATTTATTTATTTATTTGGTAAAGGGTCTCACTCCATAGCTTGGACTCAGTGATCATCCTGTCTCAGCCTTCCTAGTGCTGGGATTACAGGCCTGCACTGCCATGCCTGGTTTCAGGGGGCTGGCATTGCATGCCAGGGACTGAAGTCAGGTCCTTGCACTTGCCAGGCAGGTGCCGCACAGCCCGATCACTGTGGATGTGAGGCCACCCTGAGCTACATAGTGAGTTCAGGACCAGCCTATACAACAGAGCAAGACGCTGCTTCCCAAAACTCATCCATCAATCAACTGGAACATGGTATAGACGCAACAATTTTGAAAGAATTTTAGCTTCCGTTGATTTCTACTCAGAAGAATCTCAGAGGAAGCAAATATGCCAGCCAGATGAGGAGCCCAGTGAGTGGGTGCCCAGAACCTCCGTTCTTCAGTTGTGACAGGAACGGCAGGTCCCACTTCCCAGGTGCTGCTGAGGCCCTGCAGAGTTTGCATCTGCAAGAGGCTTAGCAGAGGCTGGGCCCAGAGAGAGCGCTATCTCAACACTTGATTTATTTATAGGCATGTACCTTGGTGGCACATGTGTGTCATCCCGGCTCTCGGGGAGGCTGAGGCAGGAGGACTGGAAGTTTGAGGCCAGACAGGATAACTGAGCCAGATCTTGTCTCAAAATGAAAAACAAAACTGAAACAAAAGGGCTTAGTGCAAAGACCCTGGATTCGAGTCCCGATACTGTCAAACAAAGAAGCCAGGCTTCTAAGAGGGGAGGGGATCTTGCCCACCACCCCTAGCAGTGCCCATTTCCCAAGGGCTGTAATTCTCCTAGGACCTTTGTGTGCTTATTCGTGGTCCTTTTTGTAAGGGTCTTCCGTGAGAAGCCATGGCGGTGCTGCGAAAAACCTGATGCTAGGACCCAGGCCTGGCAGACCAGGGGACAGAGGGACCCGAGTAGAGTGGAGAGAGCAGGGGCCGAGAGCAGGTGAGGACAGAGTGACAGGAGCCCCCTGCTGCACGTGCCTGGGGCACCGGGGCCGCTCTGTGATGGTCATGGCCCAGCAGGCTGTGAGTATTTAGCATAATTATCAAGCTCATCTCCTGACCCGCACAGGGCAGCGCGGTGGGCTTTCCTTCCATCACGGGTGTTTTCCTGATACTTCCAAGTGTGGTTATGAGGCCCACTTTCCAGGTGAGGCCTTTTGCCCAGGGGGTGCACAGCTGGAAAGCAGCAGGGCCTGGGAACACCACAGCAGCTGTGGGCGCGACACTGTGGCCAAAAGCCCAGACACCCCTAACGTCACCACCTAGAAAGGACTTGTCCGTGTCAGCTGGAAAGGAAATGACAGGGCTGGAAGTGGCCCTAGCTGCCCTAGGCCTGCTGGGAAGCCAGGGTAGTACGTGACCTCGGCGAGGCGGAACTCTCTGTGGGCCTTGCTGAGCTGAGGCTCCTCAAAGATGAGCCTGACACCCCAATTTCACTCCTCCCGGGCCATAGGGAGCAGGACAGGGCATTCCTATTTTGGAATACCCTGAAGACCCACCCAATCCAGCCAGGAGGGACATGGGCAGCCTAAACAGGGAGGCTGGGCACGTATTGGCCCAGGTTCATTACAATGTCCTTGTCACAAAAGACAGAGATGGAGAATGACACGGGGCAAGGAGCTGAGGACGGCTGAATACACCTGGAAGGTGGAGCATGTCCCAGCCACGAGGAAGAGCGACCCCAATATTCCCACCATTCCCGGGACAAGGCATGGAACCCAAGCGCCACACAGGGTGCAAGCCAGGACCTCGTCAGCACTGCGCTTCCATGTGCCTGCATGCACAGGCTGTCCCCCTGGCCCCGGAGACAACCTGCTGGAACCTTAGGACATGGCTCAGTACCCAGCTGTCAAGCATCCATCGACCCAGATGACAGAACCGGGCATGGTGGCGCACATCTGTCACCCTAGCACTCTGGGAGGCAGAGGCAGGAAGAGGATTATAAGAGTGTGTGTGTGTGTGTGTGTGTGTGTGTGTGTGTGTGTGGTACTGGAGACTGAACTCGGGACCTTGTGCCTGCCAGGCAGGTGCTCATGCCACGGAGCTATCTCCTCGGACCCCAGCCGAGGTAATTTAATGACGTATCATCCCAAACCAAAAAATAAAGGGTTGGGGATAGAGTTTAATGTGAAGGGCCTGGATCATTCAATCTCTAGCACTGCAAAAATAAAAGTATGACACTGTCACATGTGCCCTGACAGGCAGGGCATGTCGTCTGACATCAGCCCCCGAGAGCCTCCTGGAAGGTTCCAGGTGCTCTGTTATAGTTCCACTTTTTCTGTAGCTTGGCAATGTTTCAAAACTGAAAGTTCAAAGGAGAAAAACAAGCGCATTCACCCTGCACTCCCCACCCGCTCCCACTATCTGCCGCTCACCGCCGGCATGAGCCAGCGCCTGACGCTGCTATTCTGCTCATCTATTTTGCCTCTGCCTGGCTCCGCTGCTGGAATGTCAGTCCTCGAGGACAGAAATCTTTCTGCTGTGCCTGCACAATCCCAGCCTTCGGAGCTGCACACTCACACCGCAATCAATCTGAGAACATTTCCCATTAGCCTCCCAGGAGGCGCCCACCCATCCGGAGCTATGAACCCAGCCCCGCTCCTAGGTGACCACTCGCCCATTTTCTGTCCCTGTGGATCTGCCTACTCAGGACATTGTGGAGCTGTGAAGTCACTCTGTGACCTCTATCACTGGCTTCTGTCAATTAACACAATTATTTTTTCTTCACTACTGGCGATTCAATCCAGGGCCTTCACCTTGAGTCACATCCCCATCTCCTTCTTTACTTTTTATTTTGAGACAAGGTCTTGCTAAGTGGCTATACTGCGCAACTAGGCTTGAACTTGAGATCTTCCTGCCTCAGCCTCCCACAGTGCTGGGGTCACAAGTGTGTAGCACCACGCAGTTTAGTGTGATGTTTTCAAGGACTGCCCAGGGGCTGGTCCACCAGAGAGGAGGGACTTGGGGTGCTTGTGTTCACACAAATCCTCAGAGCTCCAGTCCAGACAAGGGCACTAGATATTTCCCAAGTGAGTTAGTGAGCAGGACTGGAACTTGAGTCCTCAGCCATTATGTTCACACCTTGGGGCCCAACCCGGCACTGTCCAGGCGACTGGGTGCATGGCCACAGGGACCTGGTGCCACCCCTCCTTGCCCTGTGACCTCCGGCCAGCCCAGCTTCTGGCCCCAGCCCTGCCCAGCACCTTGAGGTTGTGACCATCGAAGGGCAGGGAGCCGCTGACGAGAGTATAGAGGATGACACCGAGGCTCCAGATGTCCACCTCCGGCCCGTCGTACTTCTTGCCCTGGAACAGCTCTGGGGCGGCGTATGGGGGGCTCCCGCAGAACGTGTCCAGCTTCGAGCCCAGCGTGAACTCGTTGCTGAAGCCAAAGTCAGCGATCTTGATGTTGGCCTCAGCGTCCAGCAACAGGTTCTCAGCCTGGAGCACAGGGGGAGGTGGAGGGTGGGCTCAGGCCCCCGGCAATGGCTCTGCCCTGGCCCCAGCTGTGCGACCTTGGACAGTGATTTAACCTCTCTTTGGGCCATGGTTTGCTCTTCCAAGAGTTTTAAGAGCAGGAATATTTTAGTCTCTACTTCACGGGGTAGTTGGAGAATTTAGTAAGTTAAGCCATGGGCTGGGGAACTAACTCGGCAGTCTACACACCTGCCTGGTAAGCACATGGACCCAGGTTCGATCCCTGGTACTGCATGCTGTGCTGGCCCCATGCCGTGCCAGCTCTGACACCAGGCGTGATGGTGCATGCCTGCAATCCCAGCACTGGGGAGGCTGACACAAGAGGATCACTATGATTGTGAGCTGTGTAGTGAGATCCTGTACCAAATAAGTAAATATTTAAAAATTAAAAAAAAAAAAGTTAAGCCATGTAGCAGGCCTTGGACAATACTTTGCTTCCAGTGAATGTTTGTGACATCAGTCACCACACATGTCCTGCACAGCTGGGATTTTTAGTCAATTTCTGCACCCTCTCTGGGTCCAGTTTACCCAGTAGGAAAAAAGAAGATTGTTCAAGAGCCACAGAATTCAAAATAAGCTTCATCCATTTGTATGCTTATCATCTGGGAGGTTGGGGGCACTGTCATTTTGTTTATTTTTGGGATGAACTTTTGCTATGTAGTTCAGGTTGACCTCAAACTTACAGCAATCCTCCTGTCTCAGCCTTGGGAGGCTGACATCACGGGCGTGTGCTATCATGCCTGTCAAAGTACTGTCACTTGCGAGGTTAAAAGTACAGATTCTGGCCAGGTATGGCAGCGTGCACTTATAATCCCAGCACTCAGGAGGCAGAGGCAGGAAGTTTGCTGTGAGTTCGAGACCAGCCTGGGTTAGAAAGTGAGCTCAAGGCCAGACTGAATGGCACAATGAGACCCTGTCTCAAAAGGACAGGGGGAAAAAAAAAAGAGCTGGGTGTGGTGGTGCATACTTCTAACTGCAGCATTCTGGGGGTGCTGAAACAGGAGGATCGTAACTCTGAGCCCTAGACAGCAACAAAGAATACAGATTCCGGAAGAATTCCCGTTCCACTGACTGCCTGCTGTGTGACTTTGGGTGGGTCGCCAGACCCCTCTGTGACTGGGTAATCTCACCCATCCACACCCCAGCAGCCCACTCGTGATGGGGTGAGATGCGTGTGCTCCTTGGAGGCCGGCGCTCACCAGGTGCCTGGTGCTGTTCAAGGTTTAGTCCATTCCCTGTCACACTTGGTCTTGTGGCTGCTGTCACCCAGCTGGGGAAACTGAGGCTGGGGAGCCCTCTCACCTCTACAGCAAAGGGGAGGTGCTGAAGCCAAACAGCCTGGGCATCTCCACGGCCCAAGCATGACAAGCTCCCAGCATCTTGCCTCCACCAGCCTACCGGCAGCAGGGCCACCCTTTGGACTGTTCCCCATGTCTGACCCACCCCACTCAAGGGCTGTCCCTCCTCAGGCCACTAGAATAAAGGCCTCCTGCTGTGTGTCTCCCTCTTCTTCCTGGCTTCTCTTTTTTATTTTTAACACTAGGGATTGGACACAAGCCATTATGCTGAGCTGCATCCTCAGCCCTTTTAATCTTTGAGATGGGGGTCTCATTAAGTTGCCTGTGCTGGGTTAGAACTTGGGATCCTTCTGCTTCAGCTTCCCCTTGCTTGTGCCCCAGAATGTACAAAGGCACAACTCATGCAGATCATCCCCAAATCAAATCCAACAGCATCTGGGGCTGGCAACATTCCCCTTCTGGTATGTGAGCGGCTGCACAATCTGGCCTCAACCTCCGGCCAGGTCCCCTAGGCTCACAGGAGCCCTCCAAATTCCTTTCAGTCAGTTCCAGGGCCGCCCACCAGAGGGCGTCCGGCCTGCAGGTGAATCTCACCCTTTTACTTCCTGACAGGCAGAGCAGCAACCTCCATGCCTTGGCCAAAAGTGAATGAGGGGAGACTTCAGAGGCAATATGACAGCGGCTCTTAAGCCTTGAGGATTTAACAGTTCTAAAAATGAGGTCTGCATCCTGTATATTTGTTTCTCATTTCGTTATTATTCACTTTTACTGTATTTTACAGTAAGTACCTGTCTATAATGGATTAGAATGCTTTGCTCATTATTTCTTGAAATAGGGCCTCACTATGTTGTCCAGGTGCTCTTGAGCTCCTGGGCTCCTGGGACCCTTCTGCCTCGGCCTCTCAGCAGTTTTCTTGTTTTGTTTGGTAGTGCTGGTGATCAAATCCAGGGACGCCAGGCAAGTGGCCTAGCGCTGAACTACGTCACTAGCCCCTTTCTCTTTTGAGACAAGATTTCACTGAGTCACTAGGTTGCCCAGGCTGTACTTGAATTTGCAAATCTCCTGCCTCAGCCTCCCAGAGTGGTGGTGTTATCACAGGCCTACATGACCATGCCCTGTCATTTTCAAAAAAGCACTGAGACTAACCTGGTCCTTCACCACCAAGCGGGGCAGGTGCTCACAGCCTAGCACACAGTAGGTGCTCACTGATGACCAGTCAAGAAAACTTGATTCGCCCAGACCAGGCTCATCTCAAAAGCCTGTGGTTTTCTGTGTGCAGGGTGTGGCATGGGGGGCACCCCTTACAAAGAGCCCCCAGGGGCCACCCCAGCACAGCTCCCTGCTGGCCTTGGTGGCTCCCCCCCCCCCGATCCTTTTCAAGTTCTAAGGTCCCCAATTCTGAAGTCCTGTGGCAGTGTCACTGGGTCTCCAAATCCTGATTCCTGCCAGATGCTAAGGCCTGAAGGCCAAGAGTGACAGACTCTCTCAGGTACTAATATCCTTGTGTGGTACCCATGTCACCAGTCAGGCCATGCTAGGACATGGCTCCTCCCGTCCCCTGCTGCCCACTGCCCGAGCTTTGCTTTGGCCACAGAAGTTCAGGTCAGAGTCAAGGTCCTGGGCAATGGGGCAGGATCCCCTTCAGGGCCCAGGAGGCAGGCGGGTGGGCGGGCTGGAGCTCACCTTCAGGTCCCTGTGTACGATGTTCTTCTGGTGACAGTAGTGCACAGCTGATACGATCTGAGGAAGAGGAGGGGTTACTTGTGGCCCCCACAGCCCACAGCCTCCCTCAGTGGCCCATGAAGCCACATACAACTGAGCTCGAGGTCCCAGGCCTCCCCTACACGCAGGCAGAGCCACTAGGACCTCACATGCTGCTGCCTGTGACAGTAGATATCCTGGGACCCACATGGATAGATGCCGCCAACCTCTCACCCTAACAGCAGGGTGGTCCCCTGTTCAGAGACCTCAGAACCAAGACACGGGGATTGGCATCCTCCGGGCATCCACACCTGGAACTCCCAGGGGCCCTGCAAGTGTCTAGAGATGGACTTCCGGGCTCCACTCATTGTCAGGGCCATGCGTGAGGGCAGCCACACCGGGCCTCATTCCCTCCCCAAGCCTGTACCCCAGGCCCCGCCGGCCCTACCACCCCGTACCTGGGCAGCCCACACCTGGGCAGCCCACACCTGTGCACCAACATCTGGCACTCACCTGTCGGAACTTGGCTCTCGCTTCCTTCTCCTTCATGCGGCCGTGCGACACGAGGTAGTCAAACACTTCTCCTGTGGGCAGAGGCTAAGCGGGTCAGGGCAGGGCAGCCGACAGGGTGGGGACACAGGGGTGAGGACACGGGGGCGGGGCCTCACCAGCGCTTGCGTACTCCATCACCAGGTACAGTGTCTTCTCCGTCTCGATCACCTCAAAGAGCTTCACTGCAGAGGCAGGGAGGGAAGGGTGGGGTGTCAGGGGGAAGCGGGGGGGCCCTCCAACCCAAAGGGCTCATAACACCCCTGTTCAAGACTTCCATGGCTGCCTGCTGACCAAAGATGTGCCAAACTGCTCTGCATACTTTACCACTTTTCCTTTTTTTTTTTCCTCAGAAGGATGTCAGCTCAGTGAGGCCAGGAATCTGTACCTGTTTTCTTTTTTTTAACTGTATCTCACTATGTGGTGCAAGCTGCTCTTGAACTCATTATGCAGCAATCCTCCTGCCTCAGCCTCCTGAGTGCTGAGATTACAGATGCACGCCACCATGCTAGGTTATACCTGTTTTGTTTTTTTCTTTCTGCTATGTCCCCAGCACCTGGCATATAATGACTGTACCATAAAGTTTGCACAGAGTGGAAGAAACACTGCTCCACCTCCATGCCTGGCAAACCTTCACCTCTCTCCAGAGGGCCCCTACCTCCCACCTGACTTAACAATGATGACAATATTCCAAAACAACCAAGCCAGACTCCACAGCTGAGCCGTGAGGGAAGGCTTTTGGCTGTGCAGTCTTACTGGATTCTCCCAATCACCCTGACCCCGAGATGGGTCCTTGTATCACCCTCAACCTGAGAAGAGGAAGTGGAGGACCAGAGAGGCTAAGCGACTTGCTAAAAGCTACACAGCTGTGATAACACTCAGAAGAAATCAGGTCCCTCTCACGTAACACCCCCACCCCGACGCTCCCCTCCCCTGCACTGCAGCCAGCGACCCGCCTGGGCCACGCACCCCTCCTCACCAATGTTGGGGTGATTTAGGCCCTTCATGATGCGAACTTCCCTGAAGAGCTGTGCAGGCCGGAAAGGAAGACAGAATGAGGGTGAGTGGCTTGGGGATCCCTGCCCTACCCAACGGGCCAAGGCAGAGGGACTGGGCCGGTCAGTTCCCACCCTGATCTCCTCCTTGGGCCTCACCTTCTGTAGGCTGCTGGGGTTCAGCTGGGTTTTATCGATGATCTTGATGGCGACCTAGACATGAAGGAGGAAAATAAAGGAGGGAGGGAGGGGGAGAAAGATCAAGATTCCAGAGGCTCTTCACCGGGCGGGCAGGCAGTCCCTGACTCAGGTAGACGGCCCCAGGATGTCCTCCTTTTGTCCCCTCCTGGAAGAGTCCTCAGTGGGGCCCCAGAGCTTTTGTAAACGTTCCTCCACTCCTGAGGCTGGAGTGTGTGAGGAGCCTGAGATCTTCAGGGGGCGGCTGCTAGGGGCTGCACTGGGACTCTTGTGCAAGTGTTCTACTACTGAGCTACAAGTCCACCCCTCTGCAGAGACATGGTCTCCTTAAGTTGCTAAATTGCCCAGGTTGGCCTCAAATTTGCAATCCTCCTGCCTCAGCCTCCCAAGGAACTGGGATTACAGGTGCGCACTACTACATCTGCCAGGGGTGACCAAACGGGGGGCAGGGGGAGGTGTCCACTTTTGAAGAAAAAAATCATTTATCCACTGCATCTTTATTTTGAACATACAAACTGAAAGCAGCAAGTAATAACTAGCAAACATTTGCTAAACATTCACTAAACACCAGGCCCTGGTCTGCATGGCTTACAAGGGACAGCTCTTAACTATAAAATAAGGGTAAGGGCCTGGCTTGGTGGTGCACACTTGTAATCCCAGTATTGGGGGGACGGGTAGGGGGTGGCAGGAAGATCATTTCAAGTTCAAGGTCAGACTGGGCTGGCTACAAAATTAGCTCAAGACCAGTCTGAACTGCATAGAGAGACTCTGTCTCAAAAAGACAAATATAAATAAATAAGGGGTAATAATTATACCCATTCACCATTGGGGAAACTGAGGCACTGGGCACTTTGTAAATTTTCTAGTAGCAAGAGGCTTTAAAAAGTCTTAATCTAGCTGGGTGCAGTAGAGCATGCCAGAACACTAGCAATCACGAGGGCTGAGGCAGGAGGACTGCATGCTGAAGCCCAGCCTGTGCGATTATCGAGACTCTGTCTCAAATGAAAAATAGAAAGGGCTGAGGATACAGTTCAGTTGGAGAGAACCCTGGACTGCAAAGAAAAAAAAACAAAGTCTTAATCTAACCCTGGGGTTCTGGGACCATCTCCAGGAACCCCCAGATCCACTGGATTAAAAATCTCTTCCTGGGGCCTAGTCCCTTAGGTTCCAGGCTTCTTGGAAATCTCTGGAATCCCAAGCAAGGTCCGCATATGGCGTGCGCCGTGTTTCCTGTGGGGGAGAGGGTCCCTCTGCCTTCCTCAGATTCTCACCGATGGATTTTTTAAAATTTTGTCAAACACATTTTATGCCAGTATTGAAACGATCATATGGTTTCGTTCTTAATCTGTGAACACGGCGAAGCGCATGAATAAATTGTCAAATGGAAAGAACTCTGCATTCTGGGGACAGACCCAGCTCTGTCATCACACGGCTTGCTTTAACCCATTTGCCAGTGAATTTGCTAATACTTTGTTTCACATTTTTGGTTTGAGGCCACTGTGGGCAACAACGAGACCCACCTCAAAAATTAAAAAAAATTTTTTTTTTTTTTTTTTTTTTGTATCTCTGTTCATAAGGCAGACTGGCCCATAATTTTGTTCCTCTTATTGTTTTATTCTGTTGGCTTTTTTTAGTTGTCTGAGACAGGGTATCATAATGTAGCTCACAATGGCCTTGAACCCACTATGTAGTTCAGGCTGCCTTTGAACTCACAGTGATCGTCTTGTCTTGGCGTCCTGAGTGCTGGGATTATAGGCGTGCACCACCACTCCAGGTTTCTGTGCCGGCACAGCGTGCCCAGGGTTCCAGGGCCGACATGGCATGCAGCACCGGGGCCTGAACCTGACTCCTTGCGCTTGCCAGGCAGGCACTTAGACCACTGAGCTATTTCCCCAGTCCCGTCCTTGGAATACAGGGGTTTCACACCGAGCTACCTCCCCAATCATTTTTGTTTTGTTTTTTAGTTTTTTTGAGACAGGGTCTTGCTCTGCAATTCAGGCTGACCTTAAACTTACTATGTAGCCCAGGCTGGCCTTGAACTCACAGTGAAGTGAGCCTCCTGCCTTTGCCTCCTTGGGATTATAGGCATATGCCAAGGTGCCTGGCTTGAATTTTTTAATTTAAGAAGAGAGACAGGGTTTCATTATGCAGTTCAGGCTGGTCTTGAACTCACTTTGTAGCCCAGGCTGGAGTGGAACTTGCAGTGATCCTCCTGCCTCAGCCTTCTGAATGCTGGGGTTATAGGTATGTGCTGCCAAGCCAGGCCTTAATTTTGTCTCCGGCCTGGTTTGCCCCTAGGACTAAGCTGGAAATAAAAATCAGTTGGCAGTGAACCTCTGTAGTTTTTGGAAGAACTGGCACCTGGGCGTCGTTGCACATGCCTACAATACCAGCACTTGGGAGGCTGAGGCAGGAGGATATCTGTGAATTTAAAGGCAGTCTGAACTACAGAGCAAGAATCTATCTTAAAAAAAGAACGAATGAACGAACGAACTGGCACAGAATTTGACTGTTCAGAAGAATTCGCCCATGAAGGCTCAGGACCTGCTGTCTTTTATGTGCTTAACACGGACAGTCTGTGGGCATGGGAAGAGCCGTGGATGGGAGGCAGTCACCTTGTCCAGTTGAAGGGGTGCAGAGGAACCTGTGAAGTCCCTTATCTTTTCCTTTTAAGTATGAACGTGAGGTCTCCTATGTGGGTCACAGGGTCTGTGCAGGGCCTCTCCTGTGCTAACATTGTCATCTAGCCCAGATCGCAAGATCCCTGGGGGAGGGGCGGCGAAGATGGCGCAGTGGATTAGGCGCTTCCCTGGCAAGCTCAAGGGCCTGAGTTCAGTCCCCGGTTCTGATGCACTGGGAGGTGGCCCAGGTGTGCTCAAAGCCCGGGGGCCTCTCAGAAACACAACCCCAATCTCTGTTGTGATCTGAAGTTTCCCACTTATTTCAGGGAGACCTCAAACTGGTCCTTTTCCCACTGGAGTTGTTTGGGAAAAACCTGCGAGACGTGGACTCACCTGAGGTCACAAAACCAGCAAGGGCCAACCCTGGCCTCTGGGACCCCCCCCTCCCCAGCCCGGCGCCCCACGCTCACCTCCCGACCGGTGAGGATGTGCCGGGCCAGCTTGACTTTGGCGAAGTTGCCCTTCCCAATGGTCCTCAGCAGGCGGTAGTTGCCCACGTGGGGCTGCTCCTCGGGGCAGGAGGCGATGGAGTTCCGGCAGCGGGCACCCAGGGAGCGGCTGGACCAGGATGGCCCTTTGTCTGATGATCGGCCACTGCCCAAGGTGCCATGCTGGCGGAGGAGATGGGCATGAGCTGTCCTGTCCCCTTCTAGTGGCACCTGGGAGCCGGGGCAGTTCCCTGGGGACCCTGGCCACCGGCCCCTTTGTGGATTCTTGTCAAACTCTGGCCACAGAGTTCTGTGACCCAGCCTCTTGGCTCCTCCATCTCTCCAAAGAGAGAGGCTCCAGGAATAAAGCCTGTGGGCCTAGAACCGCAGCATCTGGGGCCTCTCATGACTGGCACTGCCCTGATCTATGGTGACCTCAATCCGGATCCAACGCTTCCTTCAACTGTCAGGGACCCTGACATTCTATTTCATCCTCACTGTCCTCACACCGTGCCCCAATCTATTCCAAACCTAGACAGCTGATCACCCCTAGGATTTTACAGGTGATCCTCCTATCTCATTGCTGTTACCTCTAATCAACCGTGGTCCTAAAATATATTAGTTACTGTTAATTTCTTACTGTACCTAATACACACACACACACACACACACACACACACACACACACACACACACGTATTTTTCTTTTTGTGGTATAGGGAACTGAACCCAGGGCCTTGGCATTGAGCTACATCCCCTTACTTTGAAACAGCATCTCACTGAGTCACCAAGTTGCTCAGGCTACACTCAAACTTGCAGCCCTCCTGCTTCAGCCTCCCAAAATGCTAGCACCGCCACCATGCCTACTTTGATTTTCAGTTTGATCATGGTAAAAAGGCATAAGAAAAAAGAACATCTATAGGGTTTGCTTTCAAGCATCTCGTAGGGCTCTTTAGAAAGTGTTTCCCACAGGTAAGGGGAAACTACTACCTTCCAATTATGATGACCCCACATCCTGCTCCAACCCTGGAGCCAACCCTTCCATGGTAGGACACGTGGGAAACACAGCCGTGTCCTGGCAGCCCTCCGCACCCTGCCTTCTCCCACTAGCCTGCCCCCGTCTCCTGATCCTGCCGTTCTATCCCTCCCGGGCCTCTCTCCCCCGCAGGTCATCTGCCCTGTCCCGATTGTGAGCCCCAGGGACTGTGCCTCCCTTTCAGGGCTGGAGCCCGGGGTGCCAACATCCCAGCCAATGTGGCTCTGCTCAGGGCTGGGCCACCCCCATGCACTCCTGGGGGCTGGGATGAGGGACACAAAGGACAAGGAACAGAGGAGGCCAAGGAGCCCAGGTGCCGAGCCTGCCCCTTGTAGGGAACTGATGCCAGGCAGCTTGCAGTGACGGCGACCCACATTCAAAGTGCAATGCCACATGCTGCAGGCACATGCCCACTTCACAGCCGGAGGTGCTGAGGCCTCAACAGGGCTCTGCGGTGACTCTGAGCCTCACAGTGGCCCAAAGCACCACCCCAGGTTTGCGCACTGGTTCCACAAAGCAGCAGGCGACACCCGAGACCAATCCCTCTGTCAATGAGCACCTCGCTTACAGTTACGTCCTACGGGTGCCCAGCAAGGGAGATGCCTGCATCTCCATATTTCAGATGGGAAACTGAGGCTTGGGAAGGGAAGCTGCCGGGTCAAGGTCACACAGTTCATTCACAGGAGCAAGATGACGACATCCCTGAGATATTTATCCTTAGTGCCAGTAACAAACTGTACTGCTGCTACTTACTGGCATTAGGCATGTGCCTGCCACCCCAAGCTCCACTGTGGGTCCAGTTTTGAGGTGTCTTCCTCGGACAGGGACCCCAAAGGCTCCCTCAAGGGCTGGGACAGGGTCAAGGTCACAGGGTGGATGGAGTGGGAGTGGCCTGGGATTCCAACCTTGTCCACTGGCTCCTGACAGAGCTCACTCTGAATCCCTAGCTGCTGGCACCCTGGGGCCTCCTCCTAGGGGACGGTGGGCAGACCCTGGCTGATTAGGCCTCCGATCCCCACAGAGATAAAGGCACACAGAAGAATCTCTGATGGGTGGCACCTGGGGCCTGGTGGAGGTGGCATGGAACCCCCTGCAGGGAGTACGACCCAGACCTTTGCAAGGGCCATCTGAGGCAGTGGGTGACAAAGCCCCCAGGGTTGGGGGCATGAGCTAAAATTGGCCAGCACCACCAGCTGGCCTGGATCCCTCCTGCCTGGCTGGCACCCCCAATGCCAAGCCTGTTGCTAGGGAGCAAAGGGGAGGATGGCAGTCCCCTGGTGGAGTACCCTAGGACCTAGAGTCCAGGAGCATAACCTTAGGTGGCCACCATCATAGTAACCAGGTAGCAGGGGAAGGGACTCTAAGTTCTGACTCCAGAGGAAGACAGGCGACACTCAGCCAGGATGGATAGAGAAGCAGAGCTGGAGGACCGGAGAAAAGTATCCATGCTGAAATTCCCGCCCCCTGCCCCTGGCCAAACTGTAACAACAACAACAACAAAAGAACAGAAAGTCCTCGGGTCAACCCCATTTCACAGATGCAGAAACAGAGGCTCAGAGAAGTGAGGTCACGGGCCCTTGGTCACACAGCTGGGAAGGGACAGAAACTCGCCTGGAACCTAAGTTTATCTAAACAATTAAAGTAATAATAATAATAACATGTAATCTCCAGAAAAGGTCCCTGGCAGGAAGGTGCTATCGCCAACTCCGTTGAGAGCCGAGGAAACCAAGACTCCAGCAGGCTCAGCGAGCTCACCCAACTAATGACAGTCCTGGGCTGCGAACACAGGGCCTTCTGACTCAGTCCCACAGCTGCCAACCTCGGCGCAGCGCTTCCTCTGTCACAGGCCTCACCCACAGTCTTGGGTAACCCTCCGAGAGACTCAAGTGGTCACCCTTATTTTCAGGGCAGAAAAACTGAGGCTCAGGGAGGGAGAACCAGTTGGTGTGGACATAATTCAAAGTAGCATGCAGAGCCAGAACTTGAACCCAGGACCATGGCCAGAGTCCCTCATGGAACCTCCCCCTAGTGACTGGGCAAGGGAGGTGCTCTGCCCAAGACTCAGAATTGAACTTCTGGCCAACGGCAACAATGGTGGGGGGTCTCTGAGGGAGATGAAGGGAGGCTAAAAGTTTCTGATGGAGATCTAGGTGGAGGTGACCAGTGGGGATGGCAGGGACATGGCAGAAGACCTAAGAGGAAGGGCAGACCTGAGGTGAAGAGGAGCTGGGTATGACAGGTGGGCTGGTCGTCAGGGGCACAGGGATTGATCACAAATGTGGGATATGAGAAGGGGTCTTGCTGGAACCGCTGTAGGCGGCAGCAGAGAGCAGGGGGCCTGGGAACAGAAGGAAGGGACAAAGCCATAGGGCAGTGGACAGCAGAGGCCAGGATCCCTGGGCCAGTGCCTGAGCCTGCAAGAACTCCCACGGGGCACAGAAGGGGGCTTTTAGGAGCTGGGAGCAGCATAGGGGGCTGTGGGCCTGGCAATATGGGGGAAGGGGCTTCCTGGGCAAGGGACAGTACAGAGGGCAGTAGCTGAGCCTGGAGGGAGGTTAGGGGCCTAGAAACTTGGGAAGCAGGCTTCAGCTGAGTGACCCCCTGAGCAGAGAGCACTTAGAGCCAGGGCGGGACCAGGGGCTTCAGACCTGGGAGTCTTCAGGCGGCAGAAGGGGACCCAGGCCTCCGGAGCTGAGGATGGGGCTTCCTCGGGAGGCCAGACCCCAGCCGGGGAAGGGGAAGCCCTGCAACAGGAGAAGGGATGGCAGCTTGGACGTCTAGGGGAAAGAGAGGCTGCAGCCGGTGAGGGAGGAGCCTAAAGAAGGGTCAAGGGGCTGGAGGGGGGCTTGCCTGCAGCTGAGGCGCGATACGGGGAGCATGAGGCCTGCAGTCAGACTGGTCCCGGACCTAGAAATCCGAGCCTGGGCTGGGGGCCTGGAGCTTGGTTGGAGGCCAAGGCTTCCTGGGAGAGGAAGAGACCAGAGAGGGCCTGGGTGGCATCTGGGGGGCCCTGGGGTGGCAGAAATCCAAGGACAGGACTGCTTGGCAGATAAGGACCAGGCCTGGGAGTGGAGAGACCTTGAAGAACCGGGCAGGGCCCTGGGCCCAGGAAAGGTGGCACCAGCTTCCTGAGAGGTAGCCCACAGCAGAGCCAGCGGGCGGATCTTGGAGGAGCAGAGGGCTGGGGCACGAAGGAGGGCACTCCGGGAAACCGGCACCCATGCGGAGCCAACGAAGCACGGACCGGCTGCAGGCAAGGCTGGCTGGAGGGCCTGGCTGGGAGGGGGCCAGAGCCGGGCCTGGGGGGTCAGGGGCCCAGCGATCCCGGAAGGGGCGAGCTAGGGGTTGCGAACGCGTAGAGGAGGGGGCACCGCGCAAGCCGGGAAGGGAGCGGCCAGGCGGCGGGGAGGGGGCTTCCTGGAGGACGGGGCGGAAGCGGTCCGTAGAGGGACCCGAGGGGTCCCGGGAGAGGGGCGCCGCTAGGGGTCGGCTCGGGCGGGGGAGGAAGGCCCAGAAGTGCAGAAAGGGTCAAAGGCTGGGGAGCTGGGTTGGGGAGCTGTGGTCGGGACTCGCGGGGTGCGGGGTTCGGCGCCGACCCAGCCGGGCTCCCACGGGGCCGGGCCCCCTCACCGTGTCCGAGTTGCGATCGTTGCCCGGGGCGAGCGCCGTCCGCGAAGACATCTTCTCCAAGTCCCGGGGACAGGGCCAGGCGAGTGGGGGGGGCGGGGATCCCGGGGTCCCCTCTCTTCCCCTCCCCCCCCCGCCGGCCCGGGGACGCGAGCTCAAAAGCTGGGCGCCTCGGACGCCGAGTCCGCGCCGCGGAAGGGGCCAGGGCCAGGGAACGGGACGGGACGCGGAGGGTCCTAGTGGCCCCGCGAAGGGAGGCCCGGGGGCGCCATGGGGGCAGCCGGCGGCAGCGGCGGAGGGGGCGCGGAGGGGGCGCGGAGCCGGCCGGGGCGGCGGCAGAAGGAGGCGGCGCAGGGGTCGAAGGAAGGGACGTCAGGGGGCGGGGCGGGGCGGGGCCGCCGGGACCACGCCCCTAGCCACCAGCCCTTAAAGGCACAGGCCCGGGCGGGTCGGGGGCTCTGGGGGCGGAGGCAGGTCCGGGCGCGCCCGCGGCAAGCGTGTTCCCACAGGACGGCAGAGCCGGGGCGGGGAGGAGGGGAGAGAAACTAGCAAACGCCGAGGCCGAGCGCCAGCCAGAAACCAAGAAAGATAGCAGGAGATGCAGAGATGAAGAGACTGAGACAAAGAGGCAGGGCCGGACACGGGGGCAGGCAGAGACACAAAGAGGTGGACGGAGGGGCAAGGACAGAGACACAAAAAGAGGACAGAAGGAGGAGACCATGGGGACAAGAGTAGGAGAGAAGAGACACGGACAGAGACAAAGAATGGGGCAGAGACCCAGAGTCCGGACAGGCACACAGACAGAGACAAAGAGATCCAGAGACGGGGAGATCAGAGGCAGGGTCCAGCCCAGGCCACGCACGCAGCGCCGCGGGGACAAGACTGTGTTCGAGCCCAGAACGTGCAGAGGAAAGCGGAGCCCGGAGAGCCCCCTTCCCCGATCACGCCGCCCGGAGTGAGGGCCATGCCCTGCCCGGTCAGTTCAAGGGTTTACTGGTCCTCAAGCTGAGCCTCGGTGCCCCTTCCTGAAATCCAGGTGTTGGTAACAGCAGGGTGTCGGGCTAACTCCGGAAAGCTGACTGTGAAAATCTCAGGGATTTGGGAGCTGGTTGTTAACTATGGCCATTACTAAAAATTAAATTATGCAAACATGCAATTAAATTATATTAAAAACAAAGGTACTGTACACTATTGCATCCTAATCGTTTTTGCTTCGTTTTCTTATTATCTGTGATCTTCGGGTTATTCGCATCTTTTGTATCCTAAAATTGCTACAGAGGGACGGGCTAGTGTGTATCTCTTTTCCAAAACGCTTTCAGGGACTCACAGGCCCTAGTGAGGATGTTTACATCGTGGAACTTGCCAAAGTTTACAAATCAATGTTTACCAGCCTACAACGTGTTGAGGCCATCAGATGTGTGGGTTCCTGGATGCGGCTCCTGTGCTGGGCTTGGAGCACGGCTCTTTTCAGTGAGGTAGGGACCATCCTCTGGGATCCATCCACAGAGGAGGAAACTGAGCCTCGAAGAAGAAAAGTTACAGTTGAAAAGTGACCAAGCCTTCGAGTGGCAGGGTTGGGATTTGAACTCAACTACTCCCAGACTCCACACTGAGCTCTCAACCACCATGGTTTCCTGTTTCCCGAGAATAACAGCAGCAACCTCGCTGTGCAAAAAATCCAGAGGTATGTATGTACATTGCTTCACAGGTTGAGGGAGGATTAGAACTTCATTGTTGCTGTTGCTTAGCAAATAAGGCCTGAGGAGTTTCTCTGGAGGCAGAGAGACAGGGTCAAGATGGGGTTGTAGGAAGCTCTGTGATCCCTCAAGGTCAGGGATCCTCGCCAGGGTCAGGGCTGGAGCCAAAGAGTAAGATAGGGGCCTGAGTCGCCACCAAACCCTTCAGGGCCCCACCGCTGACATGCAGTTCTCTCAGGCACCACACGGGGGCAGCCGGTCGCCTCCCTTCGTTCAAGAACACCGGAGGGTCTCCAGGCTTCCTTTTTTTTTTTTTTTTTTTTTTTTTTTTTTTTTTTTTTCTTTTTTCACTGCGCTATCTCCCCTGCCCCACCGGCTTCCTTTTCAGCCCACCGTCTCTACCCCATTCCCAAGAGGAGGGGGGCTAAGGATTGCGAGGGGCAGCGTCGTGAAGTAGACCGTGGAGACATTCAGTTTAGTAAGAAAAGTCGACACAAAGGTATTTACATGATTCCATTTATATGATGTAGCCGGGACTCACATGGTGGCATATGCTTGTAATAGCAGCACAGGGCAGGCTGAGGCAAGAGGATCCTCGCGAGTCTGAGGTCAGCCTGAACTACATAATGAAACTCTGTCTCAACAGAATGAAACAGGGCCAGGATATAACTCAGCTGCCCAGTGCCTGCCTGGCCAGCTCGAGGTCTTAAATTCAATTCCCACCCAGTACAAGACGAAAAGAAACGGTATATGACATATCTGTGACAGGCAAATTAATGGAGACAAAGAGCGAGTTAGCAGGTGTCAGAGGGGCAGAATGTTGTTACCCTATTATTGGGTCCAGGGTTTCTTCCTTGGGTATTGTAAGTGTTCTGGAATGAGTGGTGATGTGTACAGCAATCTTGTGAGTATACTAAGACCCATGAACTACACATTTCAAAAGGCAAAGTTTGGGGCCGGGGGGATGACTCAGTGGAATAAGCGCTTCCAAGGACCTGAGTTCAATCCCCAGTTCCGCAAGAAAAAAAAAAAAAAAAAGCAAAGTTTGGGGCCAGGGAGATAGTTCACTGGTCTCAGTGCCTGCTTGGCAAGCACAAGGACCAGGGTTCGATCCCTGGCACCACATGCCGTGCAGGCCCGCCCTGGGCAGGCAGAGCGGGCCACCAAAACTGGGTATGATGGGCTGGCCAGATAGCTCAGTGGAATTAAAGCACCTGCTTAGGTAGATGCAGGGGCCAGTGGTTCAATCCCGGCTGGCTATGCCGTCACCACCACTGGGGCGCGATATGGGGCATGGTGGTGAGTGCCTTTAATCCCACCACCGGGGAGGCTGAAAATCAGGAAGGATCACTACAAGCCAGATCTGTGTAGTGAGACCCTGCAGACTCTACATTTTTTAAAAAGGGTGTGGGGGCACATGTCTGTAATCCCAGCACTGGGGAAGTTGGGGAGGTTGAGACAGGAGGATTACTGCAAGTCCAAGCTGTATAACAAGACCCTGTATCAAATACATAAAGTTTAAAAAATGATATATGTAAAAAAGGGGCAAATTTTATGGTGTAAGAATGATATCTCAGTTTAAAAAATTAAAAAGGAAAGGAAGAACTGAGCAAGTGGCACATGCCTGTCATCCCAGCTATTGGGGAAGCTGATGTAGAGAAATCATGAATTGAAGGGCAGCCAGGGCAACTGAGAAATTTAGTGAGAACCATTCTCAAAATAAAAAATGAGAAAAGAGCTGGGATGTCCCTCGATGGGAAGGCACTGGCTTCAAACCCTGGTATTAAAGATAATAATAATAATAAATAATGCTGGGCATGGTTTGGCACATCTGTAATTCCAGCACCCCAGTGGCAGAGGCGGGAAGATCAGCACAAGCTCAAGGCCAGAACTACAGAGCAAGACCTCATTTCACAAAAAGCAAAATGAAACAGAGCATATAGGGGCCAGGGAGATAGCTCAGTAGAATAAGCATTTGCCTGGCATGCGCAGGGTCCTGAGTTCAATCCTTGGTACCGCCAAAAAAAAAAAAAAAAAAAAAAAAAAGAAAGAAACAGAGCATATAAATAAAGAGGGCTTGGGAGGTAGCTCTGTATATCTGGGGTTCAAGTCAGAGCACCTACGTCCAGAGGGGAGGGGTGATGGGCATTGGTCACAGTGCACTGAGGACCCAGCGCCACCCCAGAGGCCACCCAGGGAGGCTGAGGCCTGCCTTGCCCTCTCACTCCTGGCCGGACAGTGGCGCTCCCTTCACACAGCCCGCCCACCATCCTGAAGATTCCGGCCTGGGGCCTTTAGACCTTTCCTCTTAACTCCTGGCCCACTTACCTTCCAGCCTCTGGCCACAGCACTGGGGGAGTGGACTGTTCATTCAGCCACAAAGCCCATGACTGCCAGGCCAGAGATCCAGGCCCATCACACTCAGGCTGTGGCTGGGTTCCCCAAGGGCCTTGTGACCCTGAAACCCAGCTTTCAAAACGATCCTAGCCCCACGTCCAATGCCACCCACCACACCCCCACATTCCTAGCCCCAGCTACACCCTGCTTCATCCTCCATTGCCAATTTAACCTTGTCAGGAAGATTGCCCCCAAAGCCCCCTCCAGTCCTCAACCCAGGGTCCCCATTTATAGGTTTTTTTCCCTTCCATTGAGCTACATCTCCAGCCTTTTTTTTTTTTTTAAAGACAATCTCCCCAAGTCACTAAATTGTTAAGAATGAGCTCAAATTAGAGATCTTTCTGCCTCAGCTTCCCAAAGTGCTGGCATGACAGGTGTGCTCACCGTGACCAGACGTGTACGGGACTTTATTGAGCACCTTGGGCTGCATCTGGAGCTAAAGGCCATGAATGAGCGACACCAGTGAAGCCTGTTCTGCTGTCCTGACTGAGCAGTGGGGGAGCCAGAAACTCTTGGAGCCAGAGACCCTTGGGTGCCAAATGCAGCCCTGGTCATCTCAAACTGTGGAAGGAAAGGACAGCGAGCAGTGTGGAAAGCAGAGGTGATGGTGTTGAATTGAGAATGATGAAGAAAGCAAGGTGAGTGGGGCCGGTAGGCTTTCTTTGCCATGCCCCATGTTGTTCCCACTGGGTGCCAGCCTCTGGGACCAGCAGCCTTTCCAACTTGAGTCCCTACAGCAGGTCTCTGCAAAGAGGGGCGCTCCTCTGGGAACCCCAAGCCCCCTCTGGAGTCTCAGGTTGGCTCCACTGGCTGCTCTGGGCTCCTGTCCAGCAGGGGTGTTTGCCTGGGGTGCCCAGGATGGCATTGTCACCTCTCTAGGCGTGAAGAGCAGGCAGGGGCGGGTGGCGGATTCCGGCCAGGGGCAGGGTGGGGACAGCGCTGTGGGCCTGGTCCTTCCCAGCCCAACCGCAGGCTGCCCCAAAGGGCAGACAGATAATGAGTCTTTCCCGCCCCTGGCCCCAGAGAGGGAGGGGTTTCCTGACAGGAAATTGTCCTCCTCCAAGCCCTCCCTCCTCAGACCCAAGCTCGCTGGCCCAAGTAGGCTGAGACGGGACCTCAGCAGGGACGGAGAGACAGGCGCGAGGACAGCGGTGAGTGTGCTGTGGGAGGTGGAAGGATTCTCACCCTGGAGCCCTTTTGAGAAGGGGCTGAATTAGGACGTGGGTCCGGGACCCAGAAGGGACCCAG